CGTGCTACTAGCATCTATTACAGAAGACATCAAGTTGGTAACCCTTTATTTCGATAGTCCACTTTAGACATTCTCCTAACTATAGGTTGGCTAACTACATGCCAAATAGCTGCCATTAGAGTAGAATATCTGCTAACTCTTTATTCTGTTGGTCCCCCAACAGACATTTCTACTGACTATAATGGCTCGTTTCCATCGAGTGGTACGGTACGGTACAGTACAGTACCCTTCCGTTGGGGTACCTAGCACAGTGGTACGGTACCTAAAGGGTGGAGCTAAACTCATTGCAGAACGTTGATTGGTTGACAGAGAATCGTCACTTGCGCGTGCTACAAGGGGAATGACAACATAAGAAGCGACATTTTTTAATATACAGTTGAAATATAATACTACTGTTATTGTGTCACGAAATGTAGTTTTAAGAGTTTTTCAGGCTAGAATGTAGTTGTTTAAAGCTCAAATCCATTCCAGGCGATCACACCGTACCGCTCGGTGGGAAACGAGCCATAAGTAACTTTGTAAGTTCATGTAGTTCTACTAACCCTAACCCTAACCTACCAGTCTACTAATACTCTGATAGTTAGTTGACAAGTTACTTATAGTTAGTAGAATGTCTATTGAAATAAAGTGTAAACCAATAGTTTTAGTTAAACAGAGAATACTTTTTTTTCCTGGAACATAGTGCACAAGTCGTATGGGAAACTTTGATGGTGTTTTTTGGTGTTTTACACTCCCTGGTCACTGTGTGCTTTGATTGTATGTAAAAGAGCAGCGTGCTGTGAACCTTCTGCTAAACATCTTCTTCTCCATACAGAAGAAAAAGGGCAAAGGGCTTTGGAACGACATGTCAGTCAATACGCTGAAAGGTCAACAGGTCTATTGAAGTGACACACCTGTGATGCCACAAGGCTTTAACACTCTGGGTTTCAAAAGATTCTCAGTGTATTGTGGTTTGTTTGAAGTGCATGCTTGTGAACCTTTGAAATAGTGTGCAAACATGCTTTTATCCTTTTAATTGTTGAAATACACCAGAAATCATTGACCCCCCCTGGCCAGGTTTGGTTAGCTTTGGTGGCCTTCTGATTAGGCCTACCATATTTGATGTGGTATATTCATTTGTGTTTTGAAGATGAACAAAAGGGTTGGCATGAGGGTGTGTAAAATGATGAAATAATTTTCATTTTTGGGTGAACTATCCCTTTAATTTTGGGCTGTCCCAGACGAAAGATAACCAATCGTGGTGATTTATGTGGTGGTGGCTCCTAAACGGTGGTCCAACGTCGTACAGTGAGAGGGGTTCAAAGACAGCCGTTGTCCCGGTCTTGCAACCTTAGCCTGCGATCATTTTCTGACAGTGTCAGAAATTTAGCATGATCTTCTCACAGTGTGTTTGCTGCTTCGACCTACGTCTACTGACTAGCCATTAAAAATGCAACATGAAATGGTGTATTGATCGACGCGACATGTCGATCAAAACAAATGAAATCCATTTGGTTACGTATTTTCTCAGAAGAAGAAGACTTTCTGCCCTAAAACTTTCTGCCCTAAAAACCTTTACACAGGACTGACTGAACACAGGCATTTTTAAATGACAAAATCAGATTATTGTTTGCTCATCCATACGTTTTTTTTTATTTCCATTGGTTTAATATTTTATTTACATAATGTAACAGCATTCATGTATTTTTAAGTGTGACTTAGTGTTAATCTTAGGGCCACTGTATCTCTTATTACATCACATGAAGTCTAACGCGGTGTGATGGCCTGTTTGTTTCCATGGCAGCAGGGTGTTGCCCCCTCCTTACTTATATGAAATAACCTCCATTAAAATACACTGTATGACTTCAGCCAGCTGGAATATGTTTTTATTTGAGGATTTCTTATGATGTGTCATAAATGACAGGAACTTTCACTCGTCCAAATGTGTTCTTAGCGTATTCTTAGCGTCACCCATATTAAAATGCATTTTGAACTATGGCCGCTTTCTTTTTAAACACATATATAGTTGAACTGTTTTTTTTTTATTTATTTTTTATGTGGAGCGAAACCCATTGGGAATGAACACCAGCCAATACCGTAGCACGCCTTCTTTTTTGGGCTGGTATATTCAGCAGGGATCACACAGTGTCCCCTTTGAGTTCAGTCTCACCATGATCCTCATAAACAAGGATGCCTCAGATGGCTGGACGGGTTATTTTTGTGATGTGTTTTCCAAACGCAATAGTGTGAGTGAGCGCTTGTGTGCGTCTAAAGGAATGTGTGTGGTAATGAGATGCCATGCCAGTGTAGAGGAATGAAGATGAGCATGCCATCATTGGTTTCCTGTTTTCACATTTCTGAAAGATCTCTGTGTACATCTCTGTGTAAAAAATAGCCCAGGACATGCTTGTGGGATATGGCAAGTGTTTGCACATGAGATTTAAGGAGTGAATTATTGATTCTTAGAGGAAGTGCAGCTTTATATAGATGTTTTGTTTGTGATTTTGGTTTTTATGTTGGGATGCTGAGATGCTTTAGGTCTATCAGTGCACTTGTTGGAGTTCTATCTCGTCAGGACCGGGCACTGTTTAGAGCAGGTCTTAAAATAAAGCAGCTGTGTGAGCGTCTACTGCAGGTCTGTGTGCTGGTGGTCACATGAGTCGTTCTCATGCCACTGTGTGCTCATATTTCATAACACTAAAGGAGATGATGAACAGAGAGATGCTCTACTACTGTTTTAGACTGTGGTTTGTAGGAAAGCCGGCTCTGATTTAAAGGGATAGTTCGCCCAAAAGTGAAATGTGGTTATTTTTTACTCACCCCTATGTCATTCCAAACCATAATCGGGTTTAAGCTCCTGAGGCTTCATGAGCAGCTGTAAACAGTGTTATATCTATGATAACTATGGCGTTGGTATTGAAAGTCCATACAATGTTTTTTCCCCTTGCAGCGGAAGGGGAAGGGGAGCGCTCTCATAGACATAGAGATACCACTTATGCCTACCCAACTTTTAGTTTTTTACATAATTTACATGAACATACAGCTATATTACACACTAAAGGAAAGGTACTATACAAAACTTTTGCACTACCATAAAAAGTGCTCTTTAATTTAGTGTTTCGTAACCACTTTTTACTTTCCATCTCAGTGGTTCCAAACCCTGGTCCTTGAGTACCTATAACTTGCACCTGTTTGATTCTGCTGTGGGCGCCATCTTCTGGCATTAAGCAGAAATTCATTCATTGCTACCCTCACAGTGCATTATAGGTAGGCAGGTCCATTGTGGTTTTGGACTGCACTACAAAATAGCTGTGCTTTTTAAATAGTGGCTATTTCGTATGCAGCCTTTGTTTCCTTAAACATACACACCTGATTCAACTGATCAGCTCATTAGTAGAGACCCCAAAACAAATGGGGTTTGTACCAAAACCTGAAATGGGTTTCAGATATGAGAGACATCCAAAATGTGTATAGTTGGGGGTACTCAGGGTTTGGAACCAGTGACCCTTACAGGTTTGATATCCTAATGTGATATTCGAGATAACTGCTGTACTTATGATGGCGGCATGGCACCCTTTATTTATAAGCTTAAGGCAATTGAAACAGTGTGAATAAAAATGCCTTATTTCTTTGATTAAACGTCTAACTTCACAGTCTTTGCGTTTCTATCAAATGCTCTTCCAAAGAAGAGCCATTCCAGCTTAGGTGGATGTATCGCTTATGGCAACAGCATGTTATCTTAGCATAGCATCAAAAGAAAAGACAACAATTTGTGCCATTAATGTCATATTTCTCTTCCAAAGCCACTATATAACATAAGTCGAGTGTTTAAAATAACCACTTTCTGTGATCTTATGTGGCATCTTATCAAGGAATGACGCAAAAAATATATATTAATTTATAGTATTCTATACAATAATAAAGTATGCCGATTATACATATTGTTAATTCTTATGAAAATTCCTGAGGTAGCTTGAAGAATACAGATATATTACCATATATTGTCTCAATTGTGTGTTTATTTTCATGTTTATAGTGTCAAAACATTTCTATCTGCATGTTGTTCAGCTGCAGCAAAAGCTGGATAACTCTGTCCATGTAAGGGATTTCGAATGTCATAACATTAACTTCTATGGCCCTGTCTCAAATGGCACACTTCATATGGACTTACAATGGTGTGCGTGTCTGTTAAGTCCATGAGACCGTAGGGTGTCCCATTTGTCATTTTAGTTGTCAGAAGGGTACTCGCAAGTTGCATGGGATCATTAGCTATGAGATAATTTAGCATCTTTTTTAAAAAGCCTGATGCTGGTCACGATTCACTGCCTTTATATGGATGAGTGCGAGTGGGACTGGAGTGCCGCTGTCCTGCAGATTTTAGCTCCAACTCTGAAAAAAACTCACCTGCTAGTAGCTTTAATGATCCTGAAGACATTGATTAGCTTGTTAAGGTGTGTTTGATTAGGGTTGGAGCTAAACTCTGCAGGACAGTATCCCTCCAGGACCGATGTTGCCTATCCCTGGCATACCAACAACAACGGGGGGAGTAAATGATGACTTCATTTTCCTTTTAGGGTGAACTATTCCTTTAAGGCCATTTTAGATGACTAACCATAATTTTGATAAATAGTAATAGTAATGCATTGCTAGCCTTAGCAAACATCACTAGTAAATGGTCTTTGCATTGTGATTGAATGTTTGTCTAAATGGTGCATGAAACTTTTACTTCAAGAGACGTTTGAGACGGGCAGTAGAGTAGCTTTGCAGTGAGCAATGGAGAACAAACAAATAAGGGACATGTAAAGTGAGAAGAGAAAGCCATCTCGTCCAGTGCAGGCAGATGTGTGTGTTGTGGCACGCTGGGTTGCACTCGGACGGTCTCTTTCCCTGCTTCCCCGACATGCTCCGTGTCTCAATGGAAACCTCATGCATGTGCACTCTGCCTTCCCACTCTGAAAGAGAGAGAGAGAGAGAGAGAGAGGGAGGGATCGCGAAGAGCGAGAAAGAATCACATCATCAGAAGATCAGCAGAGGAAAGCAGCAATAGCAAGGACCAGCAGGCTTTGCCATGCTCACTCAGAGGAATGGGGCGTGTACCGGCTGCGTTCTGCCCGGGAAGGACGGCTCAGATCAGATGGATGTGGCAGGGTGTACCTGTGCCTGGGATTGTCTGACAGGGGTGGACGGCTGTTTATCGGACACTTCCTGCCTTTGGTTCCAGCTCCTGGCCAGGGCATACTGGGGGGACGTGGAACTGGGGCTCCGGGAGGCTCAGAAAGATGTCTCTTGGCGCAGATTGAAGAAGACGACTCCAAGGAACTGCATGCGGGCTTGGGTAAGGTTCTCTGGATCTGCTGTAGGTTAAGAGCAGCAGAACCAAAAAGGAGAAGATGGGTTCATAGTGACAGTCTGGTCCTGCATATAAGGGATGGAGGGCTTTCACATAGACAGAGGCTCCCAGCGGTGTATTGAGTTACGCGGGGCTGAGGGGGGCAAGGAGATGGCTCTCAGGAATGCTTTGTGCGTCATTCACATCCAGGGTGCTTGGTTAGGTCTCCTACATTGAGCCAACATGTAACATATTTTTCACAGCAAGACAACTGTGTGTGTACGTGCCCTGGTTTCACGTTTCAGTTATTGTTCCTATGTAAGCAACGGTCCCAAAAGAGGAAACTTGGGATTGAACGGACTTTTGATTGGGTACTAGCTCACGTTTTTAAACCCAAACCCTGTGGATGGTTTCATCTAGAACAGAGTTGTGATTGAGTTGTTTCTGTTTTTATCTTTGGAAAAGTGTGTGTTCAAGAAAGAGAGACGTTTATGTGTTCACAGTGAGCTCCACTGTGGCTCAAGAGTGACTCACGCTTGCCATAACTACAGGACGCACATGAATATTTGTGTATTTCGTCATGACAGCATTTAGCAAGAAAATGTTATTGCTTAGAGGTTGCTCTATTATAGCTGAGAAAACTTCCATAAAATGGATTTCATTTTTTAAAATTTAACCATTAGTCTCAGATGTTTCTCCTTACATTTCATTAGATAAATGAAAATAGACACAGTTGAGACAGTCGTTGACAGTAGAGGAATAAAGCGATAAAATGAATGTGGATAGTATACCTCAAATCATTTAGTCTTTGAAGAATTTGATGAGAAAAGTTTGGGTTCATTGTGAGATTAGATTTCGGTATCTTGTCAAATATGATTTTGAGACCTTGTTTAGATATCCTATGAATGTCAGATTGCTGTGGTCTTTTTCTCAACAACAAAAAACTTTTTGCCAAAAGTCTCAATTTAATCCTATTGTTTTCTAGACAAACAAAAAAGATGCAGTAGATTGGATGGGCTGATAAATATATTGGTGGAATTAGCAGCTTTGTGCAGTTTGTCAACTTTTCTAGCCATAGAACACATGAATGTGATTTCAAACCAAGTTTCTGAAAACCATTAAACAAACACCACTCCTTAAAGTTTAAAGTAACTGGTGCATTTAAAAAACAAAACAAATGTACTTGGTAGTGAAATGTGATTGTTATGTAACTAGTTCTCAGACATCCCAAGTCTCCCGGAAGTTCCGGGAGTCTCCCGCATATTGCTAGCCTCTCCCTGATGCCCGCAAATTAGTTCAAATCTCCCGGAATCTAGAGCGAGATAGAACATACTGCGCCCAGAGCTTAGAAAAACTCATATTTAACGGCTCTGACTGCGCGCATAACATACACAGCGCGCGGCGCGTGCAAGGCAGAGAGGGAGAGAGCGAGAGACCTTGCGAGTGTGCCTCAGGAAAGATAGACAACCCCCCCCCCCCCCCCCCCCCCCGTCAACAATCCAGGCACCCCCCCCCCCGTCAACAATCCAGTCACCAAGATATACCTCCCTGAAATGACTTCTTGCAGGTTGGGATGTCTGAGTTCTTGAATTTGACTAAGGACCAATGGGATTGTGTGTATTATTCATGCTGTTTGATGGACTGGATGGTTTGTATGATGCTGTTCCTGGTGTGAAGGACTCTCACACAGGGCAGTCATTCACGTCTCCTGGACTTTCCGCCATTCAGATGAGAGCTTTTTCCAGCTGTATAATTTAACAGGTTAAATGTAGCATTGGAAACAGGGTTGTGTGCCCACCACAAAGACTTTGACTGGCTAATGGTAGGGAAATGAAAAATGAAAGGCAGAGGAAAGTTGTGATGGTATAGTGGGTGTTTTTGGAAAACCACGTGTATGAGTCAAGGTAGCATTAGCATATGAAGCAGAGTAAATACAGGAAAGAGAATCCTTCACACAGCATTATGATTATATGGAATGATGCCAGAAAGTTCTGAAATTGAGCTCATTTCTCATCATTTTTACAATAATAAAAACACAGTAACAAATGTCATATTTCATGTAGGGGTAAATTCAGGTTGATTGGGAGACTTTTCCCCAGTCACCCAATGGCAAAAAGTGTTCCAATCAACCTGAATTCACCTATATTTTATTTGCTATCCAATGTTCAGCTATTCTTTTTAATTAGTCAAAGCTCAGTAAACACTGCATGTCACAGACACAGAGATGTAGGCTACCTTTAATTTCACCAAACTGATTGCTCACTAAAAAACCATCATAGATAACGTTTTCAAATCATTTCATGTTGTGTGACATAAAGCGGTAATATCAAGTGGGTGAGTTGTTTACTTACATTTTAATTAGTCTTCCCATAAACACCATTATTTATTTACACAAAACGAGAGGCGGGATTTATCGTGTGAACTCAATGACCTCAGAGGAGGCAAGAGAGTCGCTCTAGCGCGCTGTAACTTCAACAACTGGTGCCGCTGTTGGACTGTGTCACTTCAGGAAAACTAGTAGTTTATACACGTTTTAATGTCATATTTTGTAATATTTGCATTGTTTTATTTTGTACTGTGGATTGTTTTCTCATCCAGTTTTTGAGGAGGCACTGTCTCCCTTGCCTCCTGGGAGAAAACGCCTTAGCTCCTATACTGTGCAGTATACTGTATGCTACATACTATAAAACTGCATGTGAAACAGTATTATGCAGCAATAATATTGTTGCGGGAGCTCACTACGTTGCATTTTTAATATAGAAAGTTGTGTCTAGTGTTCATTTTACTTATAATGTTGTCATTTTGTTATTAATCCAGATATCTGTCTCACTGTTTGGCAGTGTGGCCAAATAATTGAAAAGAAGGAAATGTTAAAGTCCCCCTGTAGTAAATAATTGTATCCCTTAAAACTCATATTTAATCACCAAAATTACACATTTAAAAGTTTTTTCCTGGGGATTTTTTTTCATGCCTTAATATAGCTTGAATGCAACTCTACACCCTTGCTTTGTTTAGTACGCGGATTCATGAATATGCTAATAATCCCCGGCTCCACTCACACCAGCTCACTCGGCCAGCTTACTGTAGTAAACGTTGCACAATGGTATCGCTCTTTACAGCATGGGACACATAAAGGTAATTAATATGATTATCCTTTTGCTTGACTAGGCTGTTATCAAACAGCTAATAATGTGTTGCTAATGTTACACAAACCATGTTCCCGTTTGCATCTCAGAGTCAGACAGCTGCCTTCTAACAATCATCAGAAACACTTTGAACAACTCATAACGTCAGTGGAGACAGGTACATAGTTTATCATACATTCATAATATACTGTACATCATACAGCCGATATATTGCTAAATCTTCCCGATTTTTCATATCAACAGAAAAAAATACCAGGATAACCTGGGGCATCTCTCGAGACTCCACTGCTACTGTAGTTTGCTGTTAAGGATATGCTAAATCCCGCTGACACATTGACTTGATTGGTTACAAGGTAGTTTGTGACGTCAGAAACACCAGAGATTTCAAACTGCGCTGGTTAAAGGGATAGTTCGGCCAAAAATGATATTTAACACATCCATTACTCACCCTCAAGCCGTTCGAGATGCATATGTCAATCTTGTTTCAGACGAACACATTTTCAGTTATTTAAAAAAATGTCTTAGACCCTTCAGTGGATATAATGTGAAGCAATGGGGTCCACCTCCTTCAAGTCCCAAAATGTGCATACATCCTTCACAAAAGTAATCCATCCGGCTCCAGGGGGATAAACGAAGGCCTTCTGAGGGTAATCCGTGCGGTTTTGTCGTAAAAATATACATATTTAAAACTTTATAAATGAAAACATCTGACTTCCGGCAACGATCGATGCGCGTTCACGGGTGAACTCAGGGTGAACTGAGTGGAGTTTTGTTTTGCTCTGATCTCTGGCTGCGCTGGCGCCTTCGTTCTACGTCACGACGGTTCCTACGCTACGTCATACCTCGTACGCCGACTTCCATCCGTGAACGCGCGTCGATCGTTGCCGGAAGTCAGATATTTTCATTTATAAAGTTTTAAATATGTATATTTTTACGACAAAACCGCACGGATTACCTTCAGAAGGCCTTCATTTATCCCCCTGGAGCCGGATGGATTACTTTTGTGAAGGATGTATGCACATTTTGGGACTTGAAGGAGGTGGACCCCATTGCTTCACATTATATCCACTGAAGGGTCTAAGACATTTTCTAAAATAACTGAAAATGTGTTCGTCTGAAACAAGATTGACATATGCATCTCGAACGGCTTGAGGGTGAGTAATGCATGTGTTAAATATCATTTTTGGCCGAACTATCCCTTTAACTAAGGGTGTATTCACACCAGGAAAGTCCGATAGTTCACTTGCTTTGGTCCGGACCAAATACTTTTTTCTTTTTTTTTTGGTACGGTTCCCCTTCACACTGCTCTTTTTGCAAGTGAACCAAAATTTGTAAACAAAACCACACGTGTGCTAAAGTCGTCCATTCATTGGACAAGGATTCTCAAGTAGGGAAATCAGAAAGTGCAAAAAAGACTTAACGTAAATTAACGCAGCATCATCCTTGTATTGTAACTATCATTACATTAACTGCATCTTTTTTTGCATCTATGCGCGATTAGACTAAAGAGAACGCTCTGTATGTGAATGTCCTGATGCAAACACTCATTCATTCATTCCATTCCAATGATGCACACACGGCGCGCAGAAAGACGCGCAACAGATGTAATGTAGTAGGCTACAACAGATCACTTTCCCATAACGCAACTCCGACTACGGAAGCCTTTTAACTCAAAGGCGCAGTGCTTTCTTGCAATTGGGTCGGTTCATGTTCACACCGTAAACGAACCGTACCAGAGTTCGTTTGGAACCGTACCGAGACCACCTCTTCAGCTGGGTCTCGGTTCGGTTGTTTGGTCCGCACCCGAGTTCGATTGCTGTATTCACACCTGCCCAAAAGGTCCGCACCAAGGGGGGAAACGAACTAGAGTTCGATTCAATCGAACCAAACAAGGCAGGTGTGAATACACCCTAAGTTTTAGAGAAAATACTCAGCAATGGTGTTGACTTATGAATTTGCACATGGTTTGTCTTAAAGCACATTTAAAACACCATATAGACATATAAACAACATTAACAACTTTATTTTCTCCACAGGGGGACTTTAAAAATCATCAAAAAATATGCCATATTCACAGGATGCATCCTGCATACTACACAGAAATGGTATGGGACTAGTAGTATGCTAGTATGCCTTTCCAAACTTCCCTCATGTCTTTGTAAGAGTTTGCAGTGGACTGTGTCCAACACTAAATGTACGTAATTTAATTCCCTCTGGTGAAGTCATGTTCAGGCTCAGTTGTGTAAAAGCCCAGCCCAGACTCTAGAGACATCCACAGCTGTCTGTACCTGAGCCCAGCCACAAGCTAAAATACATCCATTCCCTTATAATACATCCATCTCCTGCAGTGCTAGACCACAGTCTGGTCTGTTTGGCAGTCAGAGTGACCCGGAGTCAATGTGGTGTTGTCAGAGCCTACCACAGTCACACACCCTGTGGAGGAATGAGAGTCTACTGCCATTATTTCATAATGTAAATGTCACACGTTTCCTCCGAGGATGCAGGGGACGGACTGACGTCACCGGCCCAAATGCTAATGTGAATTACCACCTCCCCCCGCCAGAAGAACATTAGTGGTGTCGTGATGTGCATGACATATGTGTTGGTCATTGGTCATATGGAAAGAAATGTCTCGGTTGAGTCACAGCATTTTCTGTGTGACCTTCATTCATTGTAGTGGCAGATATTTGAGATGTGTAAAATTCATGTCAGCGATGCTTTATAAACACTCACAGGATACTCTGTTGCAATACCTTCTGCCCTTAAGAGAAACCCATTGTTTTCAGATAGCGTATGAATGACTGTTTGGAAACAGAAAAGCTCTGTTCCAAAACCTAGTGAGCTGCCTTGCTGTCTAATGTCTAAGATGGGGCCGTTCACTTCACACAGATCACACGTTCACGCATTTTTCCATTCCACTGTGCTACTTTTCCATTGATTTTCATAGTAAATGTGTGAGACGTATATCATTAACCATCGCGCTCGCATCTTTTGCAGCATCTTGCGTATTACATGACATTCTAAAAACTCGGTGCTCTTGTTAAAATAAGTTAAGCTTTTAAAAAAAGCATCTCCACAGCTTGCAGGATTTTTTTCCCATTGCACTGACTTGTGTCTTGGTTGCGTAACAAAACCAGACTTTTGCTTTTGAATAGCCCAATTGATATTTAAAACCCACCCAATCACGGCCAAAACTAGCCCAATCACGTTCGCATACTGCCTGTGTTTCATGTTTTTAACTGCAAAAATGTGTTCTGAGTGAACCTACCCTGAATAGACAGCTGCTTTCAAAGGCAACATTTAATCGTCTAACAACATGCCTAATGTAAAACACAGCATGTTGCTAAGCTAATGATGCAGTAATATAATTAGCATGAAATACATAATGCCAAAGAGTATAGAATAACACAAGACGGGTCACTCTTATGGTTTTGAATGGGGAAGAATAAGTCCCGCCTTCTAAATAAGAGCCAATCGCCGATTGGTACAGTCATCGCGTCACTGCAGCTGCCGTTAGAAGCTCCGGTTCCTATTCATACTTTGCAGTCATGTGACTACCATGGATACCTGGCGGGCAACAAACGGGTATTTTCAACGTAGAGTTCCAGGTCTTATGGGTCTTTTAGTAGCTATCAAGTCTGTTAGCGAGCTAGCTGCATAACTATGGACTAGAAATAGGATTAACTCCAAGGTAGCTAAATTGTGTAAAGCAGACAAGGTTTTTTTTAAGATAATCGAGCAGTAATAATTCCTCTGTAAATAATCTAGCTCTACTGTTGGGTCATCTCTGGTTCTCATTGAAAACCATATCACAAACCTCAAAACACCAACTTCTGTATAGTAAAACTGGCAAGATCCTTGATTAGTTTACTGGGTTTCGTTGCTGGAGAATGACGTTCTTGCCCGCCAGCCAGTACTTGTGACGTCACGTGCAAAGTACGAATAGAAACAGTCAGACGCTTCCTCTGCGCATGCGCATTAGCTTGATCCAGCTGAAAATTTTCGTTTTCTGTCATGATTCGAGCGTTTAGAAACTAAATTTATGAGACATTTGTTATCAGATTTCATTGGGGATTTCAAATATGAAACTTAATCATAAGCTTGGCGAACAGTGTTGGAGAATTTGATGTTTCCCCATTCAAAGAGATAGATCTGCACTTTCATGCCTGAGATGCATTTCAAAGATGGCCGCCAAATGAAATGACTTCTTTTAAAGGGACTTTGATAATGCATACAGATATTAGGTAAAAAAAAAATGCATTTAAATGTTTTTCAGTTGTAAATGCTTTGACCAGTTAGAACGGATATTATTTTTGCAGTTCTGTGTTGACGCTAGTTCCGCTTCAGCTTCAATGAACTTTGATGAACTTCTTCAATGGTAGATTGTGTCCTGGGTCTCATGGTCTGCTCATAAGTACCAGTTTATATGCATATCCTGATCATAATACAGTTCAGTGCCTATTAAAATCAGTTGGAACACCAAGAGTCTGTGTGTGAGTGCTGATGTGCCAGGTTAAAAAGGCAAATGTTTTTGCTGCTGCACTGGGACAGAGAGTGCTTTGTGTAATGATGAGCTTCTTCAAAGAAGGTCTTTTTCACTCTGAATGAGTGCCATGTCAGTTTTGGGTCAAACTCTTTTAAACCTTTCTTGCATTGACAACGGTATTATACTGCACATGTGGCAAAATAAATGACAGAACCATTTATAAATGAGGAAAACAGAAGTGCTCTTGATGAGTGTTGTCACATGAGGACATTGTCACAAAGGCCACTATAGGCTTTGAAACTCAAATGTCAAATTACTCAAAAGTGTGTTCTCCTTAGGGTGTTATTTGTGACTCTTATCCTACAGGCTAAAATTTAAGTATCAAGTATTTAAGTTACTGAGTGGTTAAATATCTGATCTGGTAGCTGCAATAATTGAGTGAAGAGCTATAGGCTGAATGTAGGCGCCAAAAAAATAACCATAATTTCCTCTATGTGGATTGTTTTATTAATACATGCACTGCCATTGAATAAAAGTATCCGAATGACTAATTATTAGTATTTTGTTCTCTTTCTCAGGCCAAACAGAAGGATGGTTGTGAACGCAGCGAGACATCAGCTTTGTCTCCGGCTGCTGAAGAGGAGCCCTTCTCATGGCCAGGGCCTAAAACATTGCACTTACGCCGCACCTCTCATGGCTTTGGTTTCACACTCCGTCACTTCATCGTGTACCCGCCGGAGTCAGCCGTGCAGTCTTCTCTCAAGGTCAGTTCACAGCAAACACACGCATAAGAGTGACCCAGATCATTGGGTCGATTGGTTTTGTCGGTTTGTTTCCTAAACGTAATTCAGCTTCAGAGTCTCTTTTCTCCCTCTCCAGCAGATACAGTATGTGCTTAAGATTAAATGCTTACCTTTAGTGCTCGTCTGCATACAATAATAGGATCATTTATGACGTTTGCATCTTAGGCGGGGGGAAGAGGGGGGACATGTACAGGCCTCACAACACCTTGTAGTGCTGCTTTGCGTGTTTTTCGGTGCTTTTAAAGATTAAAGCTCTGTTGTCCCAGATAATGCTAGTACCATCAACTGTTTTCAGATAATGCTTTCTTACAGATTACTGTTAGCAAACATGTGATTCACATTAATCCCTATGTCAGGCAAATATATTACACGAAAACTTGACAAACATATAGGAATGAGATCTATTTCACTGACCCCAAACTTTAGAACAGTATTTCTATTTTTAAAGCTGCAGTCCGCAGTTTTTCCTCTTTGTCGCCATCTCTGGTCGAAATCTGCAATTGCAGTCATTCGCGGAATTATCAACTTTACGTGAGTTGTACCTCGACACGGCACAGCGCGGATGAATCCAATGTTTGAGGAGAGTGTGAGGCTGTCAGTCACCGCGTCGCTGTGGATACTGGCATTCAGAATCACAGATTATTCTTTTTGGAAGTATGACCAACATAAGAATTTTCACCGGAAAATGTCATCTGAACAAGTAAGAAACATCCACTTTTGTTCTGGTTCTGACATTGCAGTAAATCGCGCTGATTAAATCTAACAATCGCTTATAAGTTATCATATCACGCAAAACCGTGCAAATTATACTTTGTTCTCGAATTGTTAATGTTAACAACGTCAGCATTGCATGACTACATGTAATGTCCTTCCGATATGTATCCTTGTTTTCGCATGGGTCCGGTTGCAGTCTCTTTTTTTCTGTAAGTTAGCCTCTCCGAAGTCCGAACGAAGTCTTTTGCATTTTACAGCGGGTGAATCTCTAGTTGTCACTGTTGAATGTCGTTTGAACCTTTCTGGATCCGCCATCAAAAATTGATAAGTTTAATTATATCAAGTGCAGTGAGAAAAGGCTATAAATCTCCACCTCCAACATCCTCACACTCATAGCCTACTAGCCGAGACTCCTTCTTTATGTGTACAGATGTGTGTGTACAGATGTGATGTAATGATGCAAAGACATGCTCGAATCTCCCGCGGAAATCCACCAGTACCACTGGAATTAAAAACATTATTACAAGCTTACCGTTTTGAATCGAGCTAAGGCAAGCAGAGAGTTTTGAACACTGGGTGGTTATGTTTTTTCTCAAATATGTATTTTGGATCATTTTTAACCCCAAAAAAGCTACGAACTGCAGATTTAATCTGTTTTATTATTATTATTATTTATTAGTATTAATTTGTTTTTAATGTAAAGTTGTCTGGAATGCTTAAGGTTTTAGGTGTAGCTTGGATTACACTTCAAATATGATTTCGATCCCACACAGCTCTTGATTTCATGAACGCTTTTGAAACATCTGAGTATTAACACTCTTTCATCTTCTTTCTCTTTCAGGATGAAGACAATAGCAGCAGAGGTGAGTTTAACTGGTCTGTGATCCACATTCACTGCATTTGTTTATTTAAGGCTTTTCTCTGATGCCTGCTACAGACTGTGCGATTTCTGCAATCCTATAAGATCATTATAAATCACACTGTACAACATGTATCTAATAAACTTGGGTACAACATGTATGTAGACTGTATGATGATGACACATACTGAATCATAGGCTACAACGCAAGTTAGAAGAATAAAACATCATCAGCATGCGCTAGTGGTAAACAAATAGAGCGAGATGAATGGCACTTTGGCAATTGTGGTTTTTATGCGCACTGAAAAAAAGAGGAAGCGAAAGAGGAGAATATGGAGTGAAAGAGGCCAATTTTACAAATGGAGCTTGAAGTAAGTAGTTTTATGTTTTAGCATCATGTCACGTTGATCAATATGCCATTTCATGTTGCATTTTTATTGGCTAGTCAGTAGACGTAGGTCAACTCGTAGCAGCAAACACACTGTGAGAAGATCATGTTAAATTTCGGACACTTTTTATCGCAGCCTATCTTTGGTCACATCTGCCGTCTTTGAACCTTTCTCACTGAGGGACGTAGGACCACCGTATAGGAGCCACGACCACAGAAATCACTGCAGTTGGTCGTCTTTCGTCTGGGACAACCCAAAATCGTACATTGTGTACCGGGGGTTCACTAGTAATTCGATTCTCAGAATTTCAGTTCTGTATGTGTTTGTCATGAGAGTGAGGTGTTATCTTCAGTGGCCTGTGTCTGACCTTGCACCATGCGAATTGCTGGGAATCTTTAATGCACGCTCCCGGGGCAGGAAAACTCCCAGCTGGCAGTGCAGCGTGCTCTGTGGCGGTTGATCAGCTGTGGGCTGGTGTTTGGTTACTTAAGAAGAGTGCCATGAAGGTTTGTGGAGTTAGAAATCATACAAGGTAGTGGAACATGCACAGTTCTTTTTTTTTGTTTAGCAGAAAAGCAGCAAAATAATTATCAGTAGCCGTGAAGTAGAGAGGTTTACAGGAGTAGGGCTCCAGTATAGATGCACATGATGTCACAGGAGGCGGGAGTTGGTGTTCAGCTTGAATACTGTGAAAAACTCACAAAAGTCAAGTCAAGTCAAGTCAAATATATTTATATAGCGCTTTTCACAATACAGATTGTATCAAAGCTGCTTCACAGTATCAATCAAAACAAATTAACAGTGTTTGTTTATTACTGGAAAAGACATTCAAGTTTGGTAGAGCTGATCAGTGGTATGATGGGTCATTTAATTTGAATATCCCCAAAACAAAACACATCTAAAATGGTATAGAGCTGTGCGAATGACTGTACAAAAAGATTCAACAAGAAATCGGAGCTATCTTTTTACAGACTGCCAAATGCTACAAAAAAGAGAAGCAAATGGATCACTGCAATTCCCAGAAAAAACTAGGCAGCGGAACGTGGATTGGCAGTTCCAATTTTGTGTCAGATATATTGATTTTTGGGGTAAAATTATATCCTAGCCTAGGTTATATATTGTATTGACAACTCATCAATTAAATACGCCCAAGCGTCAAGTCATGTCGAATTTATTTGTATTGCTCTTTCCAAGCAGCTTTACAGAAAGTCATAATGTTATGTCTATAAAGCCTTAGTACTTTACTAAGTTGTAGGGCTGGGCGATATGATGAGGTATAACATCGATATAAGTGATCAACTGGATTTAGATCTACCTATATTGTATTTGTAATGTTGTATCAGATAAAGGGTTCACAGGCTTTGCTTAATGTATTTCTACAGCAATGAAATCAGGTTCATATAAATGTCAGGAAAACCAGATTCTTAGCCAGATGTTAATGTCCATGGACCACTGGTTCTTTGGTAGATTGTGAGAATCTGTCTAGTTTGTCTAGAAATGGATTAATTTGCAATAAGTATTTTTATAGTAGTTTATCCATGTCTTTGACTTGCTCTGGTCAAAGCAGCACCATCTCTCTCACATCTCTCTCTCTCTCTCTCTCTCTCTCTCTCTCTCTCTCTCTCTCTCTCTCTCTCTCTCTCTCTCTCTCTCTCTGTTCTGCTGCAGTGTTTGTCAGTTTTCCCCTCATTCATATCCGAATCACGTCTGATACGCCCCATTATGACAACAGGAAAACCCACTCTGGCTTTCATCTGCTGCACGTATTCGTAATTTTTTGCTGCACGCACACTCACTTCAACATATCTCCCTGCCATAGAAACCCTTTAGTATGAGGTCAGTATGTAGAGTCCCGCATGCTCTCAAAGAACTTGTCTGTAATAGAGATATATTAACAGTTATAAAACAGATTCTCAGGCTCTCAGTAGCTGATTGGTCAATACGGCATTCCAGCTTTAGGACTCTTTTAACCTTAGAGATTTTGGCAAAAATAAGAGAAGGATGGCAACTAAATGTTTCAATGATCATTTGTGTCCTTAACATTTTTATTATGTAGGTATATAAAAGCAAATAGGCATTCAAGATTTGATTACAGTCAAGTTCTGTATGCCCAAATAGGAAACTAATTCACAATTAAAGTAATTCCAACATGCTAAATTGTGTGTAGTAATTAAGGCACCAATTACAGCCCATTTACAGGCAGAGCTAAAGATATATTGATGTCCACTTACAGCTGACGGATGTGTAGGGATGTTCCCTAGAACAGCTGTAGTGAATTGATCTGCCTTTCAGTTAAAGATTTGGTAAAGAGCTTTTCCTGCAGGAAATTGAGCTGCAGAAATTTTCTCGTAACCATTCCTAAATGGTGCATTCCAGAGAGTTCTGCAATGGGGGGTGTGTAACTTGAGACTTTCACACACACAGACACACACACACACAGATTTATTGTAGTGTTAAGGAAATGCTGCCCGCATGTGTAACACACGCCTTCATTTGGCAGCTTGTACTACTCTGCTAAGGGGCAATAATAGTCTTCATACTTCAGAGTGAGCTAGCTATAACATTGCTAGCTTGTTTGTAGATGATTTCTGGCCCATGTCAAAAGAACCCAAATGAGTCTCTATGATATTCTGGTTTCTATATATAACTTGAATGCCTTTCTTTATCATAGTGATTTGTACCTTAAAGCCGGGCTCAGACTACAAGAGTTTTCAAATCTTAATGGATGGTGAAATCTGGTTGCATCACGCACACAAGGAGAATTAAATCTCAAACCTGCACACACTACAAAATTTGAAAACCATGCATGGCACATCACACACTACAAGATATTCTTAAGATAATCATGCCAGATTTAGTACCTCACGTGATCTCACAGGGAAACGGATGTAAACAAAATGGATGCTGTGTCGCGGCAACTTGGTGTAGACATTTTACACCAAGACATTATAAAGGCAGTCGTGTTGTTTTCACATTTCGACCAGCCGTTCCTCCATCTCCATCTCTATTGTCCACTGGACCCGTACAGCTGCTTGTTGTCTCGCGGTCGCCATTTTAAAAGTTTTGGGCCCAATCACGGTCGCCATTTAAAAAATGTTGGGCCCAATTCTCCCCTTCCGACAATCCTAGGTAAATACCTGATTATTATCAGATTTTCCTGAGGTGTGTTAAGAGTGATTGAATCTGTTCGGAAGAACGTCTGGGCTGCACTGATCTCAAATCGTAAATACCCAACGTGTTGAATATTTACGATCAGAACTCCTGTTGTGTGGAGGTAACAAACCCGAGGACACACTCGCACGTGCTCTACGTATATATTGTCACATGGGCCGAAACGATACCCAATCAGAAAGCAAGCTGACGGAAGACAGAACCATAACACGACTTCATCCAAACCTTTTTTTTTTTTTTTTGCAAATTTTCTGTAGTCCGATTATTATCGCTATTTCTTCTTGCCCGTCATCCGCCATGTTTGTTTACTCTAAAGTTTTTACTTTCTGTAGTGAATAATTGACTGGGGTTTGAGACTTCTTCATGTCCATAACTCTAGAGCAAAGTTTGCACAATGCTTGTGTGATATCTACTGGCTTGCTTTTATGGTTTAAAATGGAACCATTTCCAATATTGTGCGAAAATTTTCTCTATCAACAATTGGTCACAAAATGATGGACAGCGATTTAGATTTTGCACGTTACGTCACTGGTCGGGACTCTGGTTGTTTGTGAATGGAATCTGTTAGTGTGTGGTGTGCTGTCTTGGTCACATCGTGGCATTACTCACACTATAGGAACAAAACTGTTAAATCTATGTTTGAATTTTTTTTGGACCTCATTTTGTGTGATCTACAGAAGAAAGAAAGCAAATGTTTTGTTTTCTCTCGGGTTTAGAATGACCTGAGAGTGAGGAAATGATGACAGTATTCATTTTTTTGGTGAACTAGCCTATTACTTTAAATGTCAGATTGCTTTTTACCCTTTTCAGAATGCAATGAGTGAAATCAAGTTTTTGAATCAAGCATTTGGGCTCATCTGCCTGTGGGAGTTTTTTTTCTCTCCAAATCTTAGTCTGCTGTCATATGAACAAACAACCACAGAAATACCTCAGAGAAATGTGGGTTTCTACATCATGTCACCAAACAAGACAAACTAGGATGTTTTCTTCCTCTTTTGCTTCTTATCATTACATAGGACTAGATGTTTCCTCACAGTAATTAGGATGTTTATTTGTGTAACGTATATGGAGAAGAAGCCACAGGCATGTGTGTGGATGGAGATCTGCACTCCACGTGCAGACAATCTGGGTGGAATGGTTGGATATCGTCCAGTTTAAGCTGTGTATAAACAGCTTTATGAGATCAGCGCTCGTACAGCCTTTAAAGTATGTTTGAAAGAATGACACAATGTTTGTGTGTGTTTGTTGACTTTTGCTTTAAAGCTGTACAGCCCAGAATATATTTTACTCATTTTCCATCATTCCTCTCACCCTTAAACGAGATGTGTAAGGTGTTGAGCTGAGGGAGAATTCACATATTGCACCATTTTTACCAAACTGTTTTGTCATTTTAATTTTTTTGGTGGTTTGTTCGTTTTTTTTTCTTCTTTTTTTTCGCGCAAAC